GGAGGTCACAAAACCAACATACATGTTTACTAATACAGAAATTACATCATCATTACCGAGATTAGAACGCCAACTAAAGATTTCTCATCTTAAAATTCACTTCGAATTCGCATGTTATGGATTTATTTTTTATTCCTTTGGAGCCAATCGATAAATATGTTCAATTACGCCACCCTTAGATGATTAAAAGATACAATGCCAGGATTGACGCCTCCTATCTCTGCATTTTCGTTCGACCAGTTATAGTGCACAGACGTTGTTTTTCTTCGACTAATCGAAGAACACGCGAGCGAAGCGCGCGAGAGCGAGCACGGAGAGTGAGAACTAAGGCGGGTATACGCGCGCTCGACCATCCCTAAAGAGAAAATAGAGGGTCTATGAACAGGTAAGACCAAATAAGAATTGCAGTTTTTTAAAAACTATAGCTGCCCGGGGCGCCTAATTAATTATAATAATAAAACCCCTCCTTGGTGAGAAACTTCGTTTAGATTCCATTGCTCTCACTGGACTCCATGTTTTGGGAATTGGATTTCCTTGTAAAACATTTTATGCAAACCATGATCAGGAAATCCAGGAACTCACACAATGTCAACAAACTGCAGCCAAGGAACAATCCCATGCTACCTCCCATGTCAGCTGAGAAGTAAGCAAAACAACAAAAATATTTAGAGTTACGAGTTGTATTATAATTTACGTAGTAAAAATGTACGTATACTCATCCTCGGAGAGCCAGGGGCGCGGGTTAGTTGGATCGGGAAAAAATGCAGAGAAAGTTTTCAAGAGCGGGTGAGGGAGTCTCTGTGGGATACTACTCGCAATGGACCAGTTCCACGACTTATTCGAATGATTGCCTGTGATTGTTTGGTGTCGCCCAGTCAGAGTCCAGCATCTATCACACTGCTTTCAACTAGACTGTTTCCTCGACGCCCGTGAAAAATTGTCTCCCGTCTTTTAGTCTGGCTCGAAAATAGGAGAGCTTTCTTCGATTCGAGAAGAGTTTTCAGTGAAAATGAGCCCCCATAGTTTACTCTACCTGTTTCATTGGATCGTCTTGTATATCACGCTGAGGAGAAAAATCTAACAACATATTTACAAAGTTTAAAGGACGGAAAAATTTCTCCTGCACGCCCCGCCTGACAAGTATGCCGAGAAAGCGTAAACAACCACGCAGACGATTTCACATGAACAAACCTAGAAGTCCTCTGGTGTTTATGAATTTACCTTCTATCAGTCCACAGGCTGATTTCTTTAACTAGTGCATTTTTCGTTTCGTTTTGTGTGCTAAATTATGGGGTAAGATTTCCGCGTAACCCCATGCATTTATTATGCATAGATGTTTCCACTCTATTCATATCAACCGACTATCTGTGTGAAATAGTATGAAATTGCTGCATGCATGATAATTAAATGTATGAGAGTTTATACGGAAATTTTAACAATTATGGAATTTCTTTGGTTCTTTGGGGCCTATTTTCACTGAAAACTCTTCTACAAGATCAAGCTCTCTTGCACGAGCCAAACGTGTACGGCCAACAGTCGAGTTTGCAGGTAAACTCCTTCGTATAGGAAGATCACATCAAAAGCGGTGCGATAGATGCTGGCCTCTGATTGGGCACAAAAAATCCAATCACAGCCGGACAAACATTCGAAAGAGTTTTGGAATTGGTTTGTTAAGAAGAATTCTTCACATCCTACGAAAGCCGAATTCATTCAGTAATTGCTAAATATGGGAAAGGAATCTTTTCTTTCTTGATGGCTTTTATCCTAGCCAAGGTCTCGGAGGAGAAAAACCAAGACTGACTCTATTAACGAGGTAATTAATGGTCTAATTCCTGTCCACACTAACATTTTACAACCGTCATTCATTGCTATGCGCGTTAACCTTGTGTTCACACTATCTAAAGCGATAAAAAGTGGAGGTAGGGGTGCGTTTTCGATGGCTTAGTGTGGACAGGACCCGCCCAGATAAGGTGGAATGGTCTTCATGAAAAAGCGAAAAAGCTATTGCGTTAAGAGTGGCTCCTTAAGCGTTGGTTTCTTTTGCGAATAGAGTGCATTTTGCCGTATAAGGTACGGTCTGCCGTATATGTTAGAAAACAAGAAAAATATTTCCTGCTATAGAGTCGAATCGTGATAGTCAAAGAGAGGAAAATTAAGCTGCGAGAACTGATTAAACCTACATGCAAAGTCGGAGATTTCGTATGCTGGTTTTGTTCGTGTGACTTCAGTCAGCATATCTTTGTAGAAAATGTTCACTCTCAATAAACGCCTCCTGTTAAGCCAAGCAGATCCCGACATTAATCAGTCAACATATAGGGTTATGAAACATGACTGCTGGTTGATTAGTAAAAAACGCCTGGAGATGCATGGCTCTGATATTCATTCATAAATTAAAACTATAATTTTGAAGAAACGAAACCCTTGCCTGAGGATAAAGTAAGAATATGAAAATGAATATGAATATAGCGCCTTCATTGGTTTCATAACGGATAATGCCGTCTTAGTTTATTTACCGAGGCCCGGCAGATATACTTACCGTATTTCCTCGAATAATAGCCGTCCCTCGATTTATCGCCTGCCTCGAATAATCGCCCCACCCCCCAACCCCTCTCGCCATCTTCTGTTTCCCCTCTCTTTCAAGCTGAAGTGGAATCTGATCCAGCAAAACTGATCAGTGATGATTCAAGCTCTGAAAATTAATCAAGGAACCAAATCTGGAACACTTTAAAAGCCCATGTTCAGTTTATTTGATGAGATAATTTCTGGGTTTATTGCGATAATAAACCAAAATATTTAGGGCACGACTTCCAGTGGGAATATTTGAAATAATCGCCTCCTTGAATAATCGCCTTCCCTCCAATAATCGCCCCCGGCTATTAATCGAGGATATTATGTAGAGCTTTTCTTATCCGGTTTTCAGAAGTTTGATTTCAAGAGAATGCGAATTGCATGTTTTGCAACTGATTAAAATTTACAATAAGACATTCATCTAACCTGATTGTCTCTTGGAGGTCTGACTTTATATCTTTGGTGATATTGTTGGCACTCGTATTTAAAATTTGAAAAATAGAGTCCCAGTAATGACCCGATGGGAAGTATGCAGCGGAGTGAGAAGACGAGTATAACACTTTTTCACATTCCGCTGGACAGTCACAATCATTACTACCGAATAAACCTGTCAAAAACATTGCAAGAAAATCGTTAATGGACGTGAATGGCTCACAATGTGTTTTTCTTAACAAACGAAAAAGAGCTTTACCAGCGTTGGGCAGAATACAATTCTTCACGTCCTGGGCGGTGCATATCGTTGAGGCATCCAACTCAACTACATGTAAAATAGAAATAAAATCTATCAGATAATTTTGAAATGTTCCGGGAGATTGCGTAAATAATGAAATTACAGAGTAATGTATATCTCTCTTGACTTAGTCTCCCTCGCAGCCGTTTTTTGGGATGTCACGCAACGTCTCCCCCTTTTCGTGATTGCACACGAAGCTCTTTGGGAAGAGAGTTCCAGAGCGTGGGGGATGCTTTCACGAAAGCTCCCCCGTTTAAGGTAGTATTAGTTCGAACAGCAGGTGTAGTGGTGTTGAGTTGCTACCAGATGACGAAAACAAAAGCTCAGTATATCACAAAAATATCATAGGGGCAAGCCCGTGGGTTGCTTTAAATTAAATTTGAAAGCGAACAAACGCGAGCCCGCCCTCTGGCGAGCGCGAAATCGCCATTAATCCACTCCTGATCCGCATTTGAACATGGACTACACTTATTCCAATTCGCACCATTTCATCAAATTAACTGAAATACGATGACAAAGACAGACTGCAAAGAGGGCCCCCAGCGTCAACGTTCACACACGTCCTTAAAGTTCCGCTACCATGAAATAGCCAAAATAGCTATTACCTCCAAGTGGCAATGTTGGGAGGCTGCAGTTACATATTTCCTTCAGATGTTTACTGCTGCATTCCATTAAGCACCGACTGGAGGAGTAGATATTTGAAGAAATCAATTTTCTTGTGCCACAAGGAGGGCGGTAAGGTGGTTCAAGGGCGATAAACTGAAAAAACAAACAAACAAACAAACAAAATAATGCAAAAAATGGAGCTTTTAGAAACCGTATACTGTCGAACCTCTCTAATACGAACATGAAAGGAACAGAGCGGAGTTTCCGTATTAGAGAGGTCACTACGATGATAAAACCAGGCTCACACTCGTCTTTAAACTGCATTTAAATTTATCAATTCGCAGTAAAAGACACTGTCTTCCAGTACAGCAGAAAACATAATGATTATACAAAATATATCAGCTACAAAGTAAGTACAACTATATAATCGTGGACAAATCAACATTTTAAAACGAAACGAGCCCCAGCGCAATGCTGCATGTAAAAAGTTGAAACGAAAAGCACAAATCTGAAAAGTTCTTTCGCTATTTTGCATTAATTAGTGCAGTAAACAGTAACTAGAGTACAAAATGTAATAGGAAATATCTTTATAATATCTGTAGTTATTTAAGTCTTAAAAAAGTCGGTTACATGTATGTTCCACTGTACACCTTTCGCAAAAAATCGTTGTTTGATATACAGCGACTGGACTTTTGAAACCAGCTTGCATAGCTCATCAGCCAGGACGGCATGATTCACCTGATCGGGATTCGGGATTCACTTAATCACCCCAGAGTCCGTAATAAAGAGGTTAAGTTTGCATGAATTTACTCCCTGGGCCGAGATTTAGTGTCTGTTGTCCATGTTAGAGAAAGTCCGTATTATAGAGGTTATTTTTAAAGAAAATATATGAGAATTTTGTCGGGACATTGCAAACTGTCCATAGTAGAGAGGTGTCCGTATTAGAGAGGGCCGTACCAAGAGGTTCCACTCTACTGAACTACTATTTGGACATATCGAGACATTGATGCTGATTTGATTTAAAGAATTAGCCTGAACAGGTTATGTCTTTGTATTTCATTTCCTGGTTTAAGTAAAGAGGAGAGAAACCAGGCACCTTATTTTGTTTTATCCTGATATTTGTGTTGTAGCCCGGTGAGATGTCAATTCCCAAGTTTTCTACCTGCGGCCACTCATGTTGCTCGTGAAGTACAAGCTTGATGCCAGTTGCTTCGTAGCTAAAGGGGCCATAATATTCTTCGGGTTGCACATCTAGTATTAGACTCAAAGCCTGACTTATTCCCGATGCAGTAGCGTTTAATAATGGATGGCCTGGTTCTCCCGAGTTGAAAGTGTAACACATACCTCTCTGTGAAAAGAGAAAAAAAAGTCAGAATCCATAAGTTCCTTTTCGAAGTTTCAGTGCCAGGTTCAGTTTATTTAGAGATCATGTACGAAGCACAGGCTAAGCAACTGATTTTCCGGTCGAACGAAGACAATTTTCTGGGAAGGGGGAATTTGGGAAGGCATTTAGTGCAAGGAAGCTTCTATACAGGCCTCTGAACTCTGTCTGACTTTGAGAAAAATTATTAACAAAAGATGTAAATATTCATAAAACTATGAACCTCATGCTCCAGCGGTGGATTCAGGAGAGGAACTGGGCCCCCCTTAGTTTTAGACAAAACTGAGGCCCGAAGGGCCATAAAAAATTTTGTAGACCGCCCCCTCTTCCTTATCTCAGAGTATAGTGGGTATGGATAACCGGGCCTCCCCTTATGTCAAGGTATGGATCCAGCACTGAGCTCAGTTTGTATAATCAAACAAAACTGGGAGAAGAGAGAAGCGTAAAGCAATACATGCTTAAGTGACTGTCTAACCCTCAAAATAGACAGTAAAAAAATAAACAATAGGTTCAGCTATGTTCCTGACCCTTGCTCCGTGAAAACGGACCCAGCATTGTTGGCCAACAACTCCCAACACCCCGCTGCATGTTTTTGGGTGTTGTTGGGAGTTTTTGTGCAAAGTTTGAAACTCGTTAAATTTTTGAGCAAACAAATCACAGCATTCTTTTGTTCCGTAATCACCGAAGCGTAGCGCAACAATGTTGGATCCGTTTGCACAGCTCTTCCAGCATTGTTGGGACCACGCACGCGCATTACACCTAGTCCCCAAAGTCTTATGGGTTGTATCCCTCCCATGATGCACTACAGGTTTCAACATTGTTGGGTGTTGTTGTATTCGTTTGCACGCCACGGACGTAACAACTCCCAAAATTGTTGGCAGTTTGCACTTAGCTTTACACTCCTAGCAGTGAAAAAATTCAAAATTAATCAAGGATTCAAAAAATGCTGATTTTGGGAGTGAAGAGGTAAAAAAATGAGGAAAATGCATCAGTTGATGAAAAGTTAGAAACAACTGATACTTACTCTTTCGGACACAAAGGAAGTAAAATTTTCCGGTCCACATTTGCGTCCTCTCCACGTGCAAAGCATCATCATGACCGTCAGATTATGTCCTGCTTCTTCCGCAACTTTAAGAATATTAAATGAAGAACTTATCCCACGCGATGCATTTTTTAAGGGGGTCATGATCAACGCCTTGTACCCCGCTTTTAGGTCGTCAATCTCATCCAGGTATATCTGTACGTCTGTGCCAAGTATTTTGCTCTTCAGAAACATGTTTTGATTGCAAATAGTAACCGCTGGGAAGAGCAAACTGTTTGAACGCTCAATGTCTTTCGTTATGAGGCTGTCATATCTTCGGAGTTTAATGTAGCTGTGCCTGACTTGAAAAGCTAAAATTACCATGCACGCCCCCATTAACATTACCCACAAAATACGACGAACTACGGAAGAGGATTCGAAGAGGAAGTGCAAGCCATGTAGCGTTGTGTACGATCCAAATTCCTTGACCAGCTTTTCTACCTCTGTTTTACGAGTCGCACCGCTTGTATCATTAAGCGTAGATGGTGATTCCATACTGACTTCGTACTTTTTCATTTCTGCTTTATCAAAACACTTCGATGGAATGAGCCCTACTTTTAATTGCTTGAGAATTTAGCTCTGAAAAAAAAAACAGTTTTACAGAGGTTTAGCTATGTAGGTAGGCCTGTAGTTATAAACGTAGGTCCCCTCAAACTGAGCACATCGTAAACTCTGTAAACCTCGATTAACCCTCGGACGTACCTCTGAGAAACTACCTTGAGGATCTAACATCAACCCCTTGACGGTGTCAGTAGCTGCTCGTTTATCTTTCACACGCATTTTGTGACAAGTTTGGTGATGATCAGTTACTATGGCTACGAGATAGTACGAATAAGTATTTTTTGTGGTCGAACAATTTTGAGTGAAAATGCGTGTTTTTCAACTTGTTTCAAGAAAGCAAAGCCTGTGGATAAAATGAAACAAAGTACTAATCGATGTGCTATTTGACATGTCAAGCACAAAAAAATTTGCCTAATTTCTAATTCTGGGGCCAAGATGGCGGCTAAGTTGGCGACCATATATCAGTTGTGTGACGTCACAGGCTAGCATCTAGGCGAGAAGATGAAAAGCTTTCCACTGAAGGCAAAATATTTTCAAAATACTGCAACATATAAAAAACCCAAGGAAGGGGGGTTCCATCAACCTTCCCCCCTTGTACAACTGTGGGGGTATGAGTTTGCGTGTACGTCCAAGGGTTAAACCAGGCTTTTATCAGAAAATAATAAAGGGCTTAATTAGCCTGGTTAAGCATGGCCCTCTGAATTCGTCTCAATGGTGAACAGGCTTTTTTTTATACCTCTGCGGTCTTGGTAATCCGCAACTGATTTGACTTACACGTTTCAACTATTGAAGACAAAACTGATGTTCAGGTTATACTGGTCTTTATAGACTCTTTATGTCTGTAATATGAAGGAAATATCATCACAGAGTTCTAGTCGGTGAACACTGATGATGATTAATCGGTTGTTTATTACTTTAGCTTTAATTTCGATGTTCCATGCATGCATGAACGAGATGATATTTGGTAGTTCATCCCTAACGCCAGGGAAAAAAGGGTTGCAGAGCCAGACCGGTACGTAGATATCCTTGTAAATCTGATGTGTGTTTGAATGTTTTTCATGCAGTTTTTTGTTGCAATCCAAAATGCTTGTCAGTATTCACAAAAATGAAAAAAAAAAAAAATAAATAATGCGAGTAAATGTGAATTCATTGACCAAACGAAAATATTTGGCTGCCGTACAAAGTTTGCTTCAATGGCATCAGTCAACCAAGACCCTCTATATTGGCACCAGTGGACTTGTCGATCGGTTATGAGTAGCATTTTAAAGTTAATATGACAAAAAAAGCACCTCCCCCCGCCAAAAAACAAATTATGTAATCGCAATTTTTATACATACATACAGACATTTATTGTTGCTCCCTAATATAATAAATGTATAATTGGACTGATGAAATATGAAAATGATTTCGAGCATCGTATGTTTGTCGCTGTGCATGCATCAAGTATTTCGCACAGCTGCGTCTTCCAAAATTGAAAGATGTCAGCATTCCGTGCGTAATAATTATCGTAGGTTTACTGTCGTAAGGTTGGGGAAACATAAATAGATACACATTCCATGACAATTAAAGTACGCTTTTGTTCTTCTCCCCTTTTTACTGTACACTATAAACCTCTGTTTCAACAAGTTGACGATAAATGCCTTTCAGTGGTGTTCGATTTCTGTTTCCAAGTTCACTCAAAACTTGAATCCCTGTTACAAAATGAACTTTTAAAATTGCTTTATTGGACAAAAACTTTATTGAATATGGCTTTTTTTAATTATCCAAAACCACTGCTAATTGTTTAACTATGGAAACAGGTCTACATCTGTTGTAATCTTAGTTAAGGAAATATCTCACTGTGTCCTTATTAGCAGATTTTATAATCCACCCATTGTTAACCCTCACCGGCACCACCTAAATCATAACGTTAAAAATAAGGTACCATTTAAAATTTCCTCTCGAGTTTAAAGCTGAAATTTGTGACGTCCCTAATAAAGAATTAATCATTTTCTTTCAAAACAGACTGATAAAAAAAATGTTTCTCGAATTTCTGTGTTGATGATATTATATTTGCGAAATGTGTCAAAATTTCAGTATTAGCGACATTTCCATATTATAAAGAAGCGTACCATCCAGATCGGCCTTTCGCTTCATGACTTGACATGCCAACAACACATTCTTGTTGGTATCATAAAAATTAGATTCAGCTGCGCACCGGAGACAAAACAGCTTTCCTTTTTCGTCGTATATTTTTTTTCCGCAAAGGAGGTAAAGTTTACTTACTTTGCTATGGTAAATATTACTTCTCACTGAGATAAAGACAGGAAGCATGAAAGCTTTAAATTTTTCATTATTTTAACAGCACGAAGTCATATGAATTTTAAACACCTTACGTGCAATTTCGACTTAAATCCTTATGTCACGGGTCGTTGTTCAAACCCATGGACCAAAACTGAGGAATGGATTTCTCTCCGGGCCACCTAATTAATATATTTTATGACATGCGAACCTGCCTAATGCGCATCCAACAAAGGCTAGCAATAATAGCAAAACAAAGAAACAGACTTTTAAGGGATATCAAACAAACAAGTAAATAAACAAAACTAAAAAAAAACAGCAAAAACAAAATTAAATATAATTGCAGTATCAACAAACATTAATTCATTATCCGCACGGAGTTGACAGGGTGAAGCTCATTTGAATTTTCCTTGCTTGCTCCATGCGGAGAAATTATTTACACATATATTATAATAAATAAAAGAAATACACACGTACACACACATAAAGAAAGGCAAGCAAACAAACAAAAGAAAATAACATTAAATTAGTGAATAATATAATATCTGAAGAAGGACTTACTTGATATATGTAAAATATGGAACTTTTACCTAAGTTGTAAGTCAAATATGTAGGGCTAAATATTTAATGAACTTTTCTTAATGTCTTATCTCCCTGTTAGAAATTAATTATTTAACCCTGTGATAAGCTGGCTTTTGAGGAGGGAAGAGTGAGAGGGAAGAGTGAAATATAATGAAGTTGTCTTGTCGATATTTGAGGAGAGATTGTTTGGCTTAAACTAATTGGAAACTGATTTTAAATTATTGTTATTAATGAAGACCTCCAGTTCAATTAGACTGCCATTGACAATTAATCAAGTAAATTAGAATCATCTGCAAAAATGTGAAAGTCAAAGATTTATTTGTCACAATTACTGAAGTCATTGATATACAAAAGAAATAATAGAGGGCCTAGGACAGAACCCTGATGGACACCATGAGTAATAACAAGGTCATCAGACTTAGTGCTACCAATAGAAACATATTACCCCCTATTGTGCAGATAAGAGGTAAACCAGTCGTTTAAAATTCCGCGAATTCCATAATGACTTAGTTTTCTAATTAACCTGCTGTGATCTCCAGTATCAAATCTTCTGAGAAATCAAGGAAGATCCCGCTAGAAAATTGGCCATCTTTTATAGCTCTCTGTAGCTTATCTGTAATTAGAAGAGTTGCATGCATTGTAGAGTAGTTTTCTCTAAAGCCAAACTTGTACACAAGCTTTTGCAATCTTTTGTTAAAAATTGAAAGCAGAGAAATTGGTCGATAGTAAACAGAAGCAAAAAGGTAAATATTTTTTTGTTCACTACACTGATTGAATTTAAGTACGCATGCTAGCCTATATATTTGACGCCATGCAAAATTTGCCTACTGGTGCGGTGCCTAGATTACCCTGGTCCCAGAGGTTTTTCTTGATTTTTCTTCACGAAAGAGATCAAGAGGAAGCCGCGAAGCGGCGACAACGAGTCGCGAAAGCGACGAGGAGAGAGAGTTAAACCTCTGGTTACCTTGGCCTCGAATCTCACTTTCATGCAGACGACAGCTGTCAAACGCGTCAAATTGCTAATAAAAGGAGTGACCAATGGCAACTTAGCAAACACGTGCTTATCAGCCGCTATTTTTTTAAGTGGAGGTAGACCTGGGGAAATTCTGTTATGAACAAACCATCTCCACTTGGGTGGTAAAGAGTGATTTGTTAATCGGGGTCAAGCTAAAGCATGTGTTAACGATGGGCGACAAGAGTCCAGGAATAAGAAGACCACTTTATAAAGAAACCGACATTGTTCCAAACGACTGCTGCAGGATTTGCAGAATTTATGTAAAAGTAAGTGGCCGATCTAAAATCAACCTTTTTGGATATAATAACAAGGATTTTTCACAAACATTGTCATTTGTTCTGTCGGCAGTGTGCAAGAGTCTATCAATCGCTCTTATTGCATTGCTTACTTCTGCGGGGCGCGCCGTTCGCGTCGATTCGCGGGCAGTCCCTTCAAAATAGTAATATTAATATGTATTCTGGCAATCTGGCTCGCATTTTGGTTTGGCGGCTCCATTTCCTTTTTTTGTGGAACAAGAACGCTAGGAAGAGTCATGCAGCACAACAAACCCTTAATGTTCGGAATGTACTTTCAGAGGTTTTTGTTGACCCAATAGACCTATTCGGCTAACTCAATGTTGTACCCAATTCAAACCCTTTGGGAATAAAACGTTTTGTTTCAGGAATTTCCATATCATTTAAATGTGAATGCCACATTATAATGCAAATGCAATACACTAAGAATCTTATCCCCGGGAGATTTGAATTGGGTACAATATTGAGTTAGTCGAATAGTTCTATGCCAAAAATAACGTTGGTTAGATCTTTTCTGGGCGTCGCTGGAAAATCAAGCTGCACCGAAAATGATTACGTACTTGTACAAAGTTGTATGTTTTTTTTTCCTACAAGGAAACTTTCATTCCGTATTCGGAGATTTTTTATTTTGCTGCCCTAAACAAGTTAGTTTATTTAATGGAATAACAGTATTGTAAAAGAAAATATACTTTCCATGTCCGGTTGATAAAATTGTGAACACATCCTTTCGGCTCAACGCAGCGAACAAAGCTTTCTTTTGTTGTTCAGTGAGACTCAGGAAAGCGCTCATTCTTTCAGGAACAACATCCACGTCAAAATCTCGAAATATGGCGCGCCTTTACGTGCCTTGGTCCCGTGCAAATGTTATTGCGAGTGCAGCATACAAACAATTTTCTTCCCTAGTAGAGAGAGGCAAAATGAGGTGTGAAAATCCTCAGCGTCCCCTCGGTAGTTACAATTAAACGAGCCAATCAAATTGGTTTGCGTGTTTGAAAAACTATCAACCAATCAACGCCCGAGGGTCAGATCCTGACCCTGTCGTCTGCATGAAAGTGGGATTCGAGGCCAAGGTAACCAGAGGTTTTTCTCTCTCTCCTGGTCGCTTTTGCGACTCGTTGTCGCCGCTTCGCGGCTTGCTGTTGATCTCTTTCGCGAAGAAAAATCGAGAAAAACCTCTGGGACCAGGGTAAGCCTATATATTTGACGCCATGCAAAATTTGCCTACTGGTGCGGTGCCTAGATGTTATTTACTTTAAAAATTGCAGCCTTTCCCGGAAGATAGTAATTTGGCATTGGCGGGCGCCCTTTCAAACAGACTTTAGGCGGCCTACTTCGTTTAGAATCTATGATTCTCGGCTCTGGACTTCAGTTGGTAATTGCTTTTTCTTGGAAAGTATTTGATGCAAACCATGATCAGGAGATCAAGGAATTCACACAACGTCAGAAAGCTGCAGCCAAGGAACAATCCCATGCTACCGCCTATGTCAGCTGAAAAGTAAAATATAACAAAAAATTATTCACCATAAAAAATACATTTGAGAAACATGGATATGTATCCACGGAACGGATAAAGGAACATGACTTCAGGGGCATACGGCTTCACGAACTCAGACTTCAGCATCTGTTTCCGGAACAGGCCAAGACTCCAGAACAGGCAGTATCCGCTCGGGACAGAGGTTTTTCAAGTTGATTAATCTAGACTCGTCGATATTCTCGTAGGATAAAAGAGGCTAATTCATATAAGTCTCATGGTGACAATCTTTAGAGGCAGTTTAGATCCCTGGTCATCGAACACCTGAGGGACAGATAACCGGAAGTTGTCGATGCGTTGGTAACCATGACAAAAACGGAAGTTTCTTTCACCAAAGTGGATGGGGAAATCGTATATACAGTTAAGATGAAGACAGAAATCGTACTTTCGTAAAGATGATTCAAAACCTAACACTAGATTCAAGCTTTAACTCTTCATGCAAATTAACTCTTAAGCATTTATAGAAACAACAACAGAAATAATAATAATAAGAAGAAGAAGAATAATAAACGGTAAACGGAGAGCGAAGATCTTTTTGCTACACGAGGTATGGTCTAGATCTTTCGCGCTCGTTTATGTATCTCATAAACTGACCGAAACGATGAGCCAAATTCAAAATGAAAAATCTTTATAACTTAATAGAAGTCAAGACAGGAATATTAATACACTGTATGATCGTGAACTGATAAAACCTACATGCGAAGTCGAAGATTCCGTACGCTGGTTTTATTCTTGTGATGTCAGTTGACATATCTTCGTAGAAAATGTTCACTTTCAATATGCGCCTTCTGTCAACAAGAAAAGCAAAAAAGAAAAAGAAAAAAAAGGCAGTGCCGTGTTATCGTTCCTTTTAATAAATTCTTAATGCTTATATCAAATCACTAAGTATCAATAAGGTAGTTTCTTTTTTGAGGGGGTTGAAGTGTCAGTGGCTTGCACTGCCAAAATTAAAGACTTTTTCTACAAACGTGTTCCATCATGACATTATGAAAAAGCCACATGTCAAATCAGAGTTCCATAAGTTTTAAGTATTTTATAGAGATTATTTCATGTTTTATGGATTGTTTTGCATAATCAAAAAATAATATAAAATTGAAAGAATGTCTTTAACTATATGGTAACTGACCTGATTGCCTCTTGAACTTCTGTAATCGTAACTTTGGTTTTGTTAGTAGAACTGTCATTTAAAAGCTGATAAATAGAATCCCAGTAATGAGTTGATGGAAAGAACGCAGAGGACAAAGAAGATGAATATAACACTTGTTCACATTCCACTGGACAGTCACAATTTTTGCTGGTAACCAACCCTGTCAAAAATTGCCACAAAACGTTCGAAACTTTGATCTTAAATATGTTTGAACTCTGCTTCTATAAGATACATGATAGAATTGAAGTAAATGCAGTGAGGTTCCTTATAAAAAACTACATGAATAAATTGATCAAAGTGAGAACAGCTGATTACTCGTGACCGCCTTGACCAACAGCTAGGTGGGACTGCCTCAAAAAAAATTTCGGTGTGTTACCGCCGACATCGGCCATTTTTGTCGCGAAAACTAGCGCGACGCGAGGGAAAGTTTACCATTATTCTGTTTCAGTTATTTCTAAACATTCTGCTCCTGGGAGCAGAATGTTTGGAGCATATTTGAGCTTCTATATCGGCACCTTTCTTTTTCGTCAACGTTTTCCATCAGGTCGTCGATTTTTTTAACGAAATTGCTTGCATATCAAGAATCGTTTAGGGTGGAAGCGCGCGATGCTAGGGAGCTGAGCATCGCAACTACGATGACGACGACGGAGAAGAGAACATAAAAACGCAATAGACGTAAAAAGCACTGCAAAGCCTCTGAACGTCCATCATACTGTTTGCACACTGGCAAAATATCGCTTCAATTTACGTATCTGTTGGATGTTCTTTAAATTTACATATGGATGACGTTAGCAATTATGACGTCATATTTTGACAATTTGATGTCAAACTATACACCAAATTCATTCGCTTAATATTTTAAACTTCCAAGCCAAGTTTAGTACAGAAATGACAAAAAAGGCAAAAGATACGTAAATTGAAACGAAAATGATCGATGTTTCCCATGGCAAGTGTGTTGGTAGATTTCTTCGCTGTCTTCACACAACTAACCTCTTCAGCCTTATAAGATCGTCGCTGATCGTCGTTTCATCAATACGAGATCTTCTCATTTCGTCGAAAATGCCCATAGATAGTCTCATTTATATTCCGCTTTTTGCAAGTCAATCGAAGGAGTATTCCGAACTTTCTATTTATTCCTCTTCCAGAGCTAACACATGCAACTGAACGCACCTATATTGACCCCGCTGACCACTAGACGTACATTTGACCACTTTTGGTGACCGAATGCAAATGACGGCGAATGGCTTTAAGTTATCGGCGATGCATTCGGCAGCATGCAATAAAATATGTAGTTACATTCACTGTCCTCTAATTAATTATGGAAACTCGTTTGACTATCTTTTATACTGCCGCGGCCATTACAGGCTCCTTCCTGCCAGGGCACATTTCTTCGAAAAAAGCCATTTGTTACATAGTCATTTCTTATCTTTGTTTTTCAATGCAAAAAAAAAATCATGAAATATGTTTCTTAAAGCGGCAGAGGAAGTTAGACAGCTCTTAGTTGACGAAAACCCTTTTCCGATCTTGAGAGTTCTTTTTTTCAACTTACCAGTATTGGGTAGTATACAATCTCTTATTTCTTGGGCGGAGCATATCTTTGAGGCACTGAACGTTTCTAAAAAAGATAATAAAACATCTAGATTATTTTTAAAACTATAACGGCCTGAATGGGAAAAAAATTAGGAAATTAAGGCCTCCTCTATATGTATCCGGATATTTAATAAAAGAGGGAATTTTTTCTCCGTTTTAATTTCGAAATAAGTATATCTCATTAAACTACTCAGAGTTTATACATACACCAGTTTAAGACCGTTTGGACTATAAATCCGAGAGTACGGACAGCAAACTCTTTTACACAGAGGCAAGTCAAAGATATGTTTCAGACCTTTAACAAATAGGACCATATAGCGCTAACAAAAAAAGCTAAAGTTTGAAAATTATTCTACTTCGTTTGCTTTCATACTGTATCTATTACCTCCAAGCAGCATGGTTGGGAGGCTGCAGCTACATATTTCCATCAGTTTTTTTTCACCGCATTCCATTAAGCACCGACTTGAGGAGTAGACATGTGAAGTAATCAATTTTCTTGTGCCACATGGAGGGCGGAAGGGCGGTTTGAGGGCAATATACTGTCATAAAACGACAAGGAATTGAAAGTTAGATTAGATATTCGATTAAAGCACATAAAGACCCAATAATCTCTGATTAAAAATGGTATTGCGGGCTCATAATTACGGCAAACTTGCGACAAACAACACACGTGGAAATGGATGTGCAAATGATTATAGACCATCCCCTCATTCATGGTATCAAGAGGTTTAAGCTTGGGTTGAGAAAATACAGCGATTTGTATGAAGTTGTCCAGTCATGTCTTATACTCGCGGATATACGCTCTCTCCCCCCCCTTTCTCTGCACTGATTCTTCAGGGTGATCGTGATGTATGAACGGAAGACTTCTCCTGACAGCAAAAAGGGTGAATTAAACAACTGATAACAAATAGTCCCGCTTTAATTGTCAGACGATTACTCTTCGACGGTTTGACGTGTGTGTATATCGTGGAGTAAATTAGACTTCGTCTGTAACATTAGGATAAACTCTAATCTGCACACTTAGGCCTTGGAAATATTTTGACTGAATAATAATGAAACAATTATTAAATTCGGCTATTGTATAAAATGAAGAAATCTGCACAACTCGGAGGATGGTATCAACCTCAGTAGACCTGTACAATTCTTCATATCATACTAATTCTCAAAATATAATCTATTCAATGACCAGACACCTTGTTTCGTTTTATCCTGATATTTGTGTTGTAGCCCGGTGTAAGGTCAATTCCTAAGTTTTCCACCTGTGGCCACTCATACTGCTCGTGAAGTACAAGCTTGATGCCAGTTGCATCGTAGCTAAAGGGGCCATAATATTCTTCAGGTTGCACATCTAGTATTAGACTCAAAGCCTGACTTATTCCCAAAGCAGTGGCGTTTACTAAGGGATGGCCTGGTTGACCTGAGTTGAACGTGTAACATAGACCTCGCTGTCGGTGGAGAACCAAGTGAAACAAGATTACGTTAGTAAATTCAGTACTGGGGGCCATTTTTTTAGGAACTGTTTAAATCGCAGAGACCACTGCCATTAATTTTCCAAGGATTAACAACTGGGGCGGGGAATTTTGCACGGGATGTAGTGCGGCACAAAGTTTCTAGACGCGTCTGCACAAATGTCTGACCTCTGCCCGACCACAGTTTGAAGCTGCCCTAAATACAGTGGAAACATTTTTAAAGGACCCCTCACAAGTAGTTTAGACTGTTCAACTTGTGACCGCTTAAGAAAAAAACCTTGTTTGAACACTCCCTTAAAGGTGAATGAACGTTTTCCAATTGATATTGTCGGTAAGGAGCTATACTGGTTTAACTCATAACACAAACAGGGACCAGCAATGTATTATAAATGACCAGCTTTCCTCTGAGGAATTACTTGCAGAGTTCCCCAATGCCCTATTCTAGGGCCACTTTTGTTCCTAATGTATATTAACGACCTGCCTGCCTGACATTCTAACATTAACCACGCCAGGCATATATGTGGATGATATTCAACACTTCGGCTTCCTTTATATTAGCGATGCGCAGCGTCAAAGAAACTATTAAAAAACAGGACGTAAGCGTGCGGACAAAACAACGCATACATAAGAATATGCAAAATAATGAAGCCCATATGTACACTGGCACTTACAAGGAGGGTAGCGAAGGAAGTAAAATTCTCCGGTCCACATCTCTGGCCTCTCCACGAGCAACGCTTCATCATGACCGTCAGATTATGTCCTGCTTCTTTCGCAACTTCAAGTATGTTAAATGAAGAATTGATGCGACGCGATACATATTTGAGATTGTCAATGTCGTCCAGGTATTTCTGTGCATCGGTGCCAAGTATTTTGCTCTTCAGAAGCATGTTTTGATTGCAAATAGTAACTGCTGGGAAAAGAAAACTTTTTGAGTACTCAATGTCTTTTGTTACAAGGCTTTCGTGGCTTTGGAGCTTAAGGTAACAATACTTGAGCTGAAAAGCTAAAATTAGCATACAAGCGACCATCAAAATAATCCACAAAATACGACGCACTGCGGAGGAGGATTCAAAGAGGAAATGCAAGCCATGTAGCGTTGTGTAAGATCCAAAGTTCTTGATCAGCTTTTGTACTTCCGTTTCTTGAGTCGCATTGCTATTATCATGATGCGAAGATGATGTTTCCATACTGGCTTTGTGTAAAAACGATTCTGGAGTGGAAAACTACTTTAGATAAACTTAGCCCTGAAAAAAAAGTTTTTGATGAGATAAGTCAGTAGCCTTGCAATGCCTTTACTAAAATCACAAACAAAGGTTCTCGCGGATCAATAAATTATAGCCTGAGTTGTTAAAAACCTTCGTAAGATCAGCAATTCCCTCTTGGCTTATCAGGGTCTTTAGATAATTAAAGAAAAGTTAGATAAAGGGCTTGGTTAAGCGTGGCAAGTCCTGGTTAATTATCAACCATGTTCGTGCTGAGCAAAATTAGTCTGGTGATGCCTAAACAGTCGGAAACATGAATTATATACTTGCAGAAACTTTCAGCTGCGTATCTGAGTGATTTTTAATCCCGAAAGACTAACTATGGTTCTTGCATTTGTTTTGGTTCTCTCCGTTTATTACCGCTATATATATAGTTCCATGCCACAATAACTAAAGGCAATCAGGTTATACGGTAGCAACATAACAGTATCTCGCGAAAAAATCCCGGTGATGCTCGCGGCCTTTACTTTTTCCCACGAAAACGAAGCAGTGATACCGACTGCCAAAACGTTTCATGCCAGAAGGAAATTCAAACAACATCGTCGGTTTTGTTTTGTTTTTTGACAAAGCTGTTTGGCAAAACCTGACGTATTTCTGTGTTGAAAAATCATACCTGAAAATATTAAACCATCGCAAAAGAGAGGCGGAGAAGAAAATTTTTCGCAATTGAAGTATTGATATATTTAGAGAATTGCAAATTGTGCATCCAATTTTTGTGGCAGCTGTGACGTCTATGAAAGATAAGAATGAACCCAAGAAATAATGACTCGTATTTTTAGCATATATATGATATATATAATTACTGCGTCTGTGTACAGAAGTAATGATTGTCCGGAGACTTAAAATCGTACTGTTTAATATCTATATATCAGTTCCACAACAATTAAACTACACCGTTTGGTTTGGAGAAAAAGCCTTAACATAAAACAAAATTAACATACCTTGATTATTTAAATCCAACCAAAGCTTTCTTTAGGTGCTACTTTTTAATAAGAGTTCGCCGACACGTTCCTTACAGTAACGGAGGCTGTTCACTAGCGCTCTTTTCCTCACTGTTTGGATTTTGTTTTTCAATCTCGTTTGACCTGTCCGCCGATTGAAAGATTTATTATTTATTATTATTGTTACACGAGACGATTCGCAACGACGACTTTTAGAGCAACAAGGCGGTGCAACATTATTGCGACATTTTTTCGAATACAGTAGTTACGACATATGTTCCAACATTGCAACGCTGTGTTGCACTAAAAATTGTCGTTATGAATCGTCCCGTAAAACATCACCTTTCAACTACTGCCAACAAATGAATCCCAAGGCAAGTTCATGATAAAAGTAAACCTCACTAGTCCTTTATTAAGCAGATTTTATACGTACGTATTGGTTAATTATGACAGAGTCCTTAAAATATAATGAAATAAATTTCTCAAGTGCACAAGGTAGAAATTTATGACTTCTCCTCTATTTTTAAAGTCGTAGTTGCATTACAAAATGTTTCCTAAGTTATTACCTTTTTTGCAGAAAGTCTGGATAGTTTTGCATTTTCATGGGATAAAACCTAGCCCTTTTTTTCTTTGGGCACAATTAAAATATTAAGAAGAAAATAGCTAACATAATTCTTATGAGTACAATCATTATGGTTTTGTTGCGTACCTGAGTCTCCTTAGCATTCTGTTTCCAGAGACCTTAATTTTCAGTGTAGAAAGGTAAAGTTTACTTTGCCACATGAACTGAGCCATATTAAAAAGGCAATTTATTTTATTTTGTTCTATTTTGCAATCAATCGTCATTAAATTTTAAAGAACTAGTGGCGGTTAAATTGCACTTAAATGCGCTATCATTAAACGTTTTCTAGAACGCTGTCGGTATACTTATGAGTGAAAACTATAGAATTCTTTCCTTTATGAATATTTATGACACGTAGGCCTCCATAGCTGAAAATTGCTCACCCGACAGAATAATCCGCTCTCGATTCGCCCAACCAAAAAATAGCAGCAAATAGCAGCAAATATAACTCAAAACATAAACAAACATACCATAGCAACACCAGAATTGAAAAAAGTTTATTCGTAATAAAAATTATAAAGATATCTTGAGAGTTTTCTTTGTGATTTAATCAAGTTTGTTGCAACTCATTTTAATTTCAGATTCGAGTTTGTTTTACTGTCGGCCGTCAGTGTTCTACCTGAAATGTTCTTTTGGAAACTTTAATGAAGCTTTTTTTTGTCGAATGGATATTCTTTAGGAATCAATTTAATTAAGGGCGGGTACGATGACTGTGGGTTTTACATCATATGTAAACGGCTAACAATAATATGGTCGAGGCCATTTTTCTATCATAAAAGTCATTAAGTCGTGCGGTAGTACATGTACTCATAGTCCTGGTCTACTGTATATCTATTTGCCTTATAATCCCTTTTGCGCTTTTGCCCGCCTTCGAAGGCTTCCCAGGGGTCATTCTCGGTCACTGTATTTTGGTGAAGTAACAGGCAAGAATGGCGAGGAGACAGCGCAAACTCGCTCGGAACAGGTGGCACAAAAAGTATACAAAATGGAAAAGGTGCTGCCGATTATAGGGATTAGAGGGGGCTTGGCAGTGTAATGACATTTATGACATTACATGCAAACACGCTTAAAAATATGATTATGTTAGCCGTCATTTCAGTTTTGTCGATAACTTCCACGAACTTGCGATCAGCGAGAAAAAAGAATATATCGCCTAAGTCTGAAACTAGTGCAAATAACCTCGGAGCAAACAAATACCTTCGAATTATGTGTGGCGACTAAATCTTTGTGGATCTCCCCGACTTCGACTGACTTCGACACCGACAAGAAGTATTCCCTCATTTTCCTCACAGATAATTGAGCGAGCAGAATAAGCGAGCGCGCATGAAAAGTGCCACGTGAGTGGAGAAGCCAGACGCAGGGGAAGGCGGTCTTATGTCTTTCCTCGCGGATGGCGACTTCGCTCGCTCTACTTTCCCTTAGGAAAATGAGGGACTAGTAACCTTAGTCTATATTTTCCATGTATTAAATGGCAAATCACTTTTTGTTACTGAGGTGCGGCTTCATCGGGTAAAGACACACATTCACGTTGCAGATCTTTCGGTAATGCGCCGAACGCGCGGTCATAGCACATAGAACGAAGTTCGAATGTCAATGGACAGTCGCATTTTAAACATCCCATTCAGTTCCTCTGTTTTTCACCCTGTGTGCAGTCAAAAGCAAGAGAAGCAAAATTGAAGTATATAATATAATTATTTCATTTGCCCGTTAAACAACTGTTACATTCACTCTTGCTTCCTGGCAACTTTTTTCCTACAGAAAAAACCCGGATCTAAGGCATAAACAGGCTCTTTCATTTTATCTATTGACCATTTTCATCCAATCCATAATGCACCGTGTCTACCCCCCCCCCCCCCCCACCAAATTGCAAACTTGGGAGATAAACAAGGTGCATTATGGTCTCGGCGAAAATGGTGAATCCAGTACAGTTGCAATTTTACACCAGCAATTTTCTGTCCTTTAATCTCTGCTAGGTGAATCTGGAGTATACTTCTTTGCTGTAATCTCCTCGTCGATAAGACCGGCCCGAGTGTCTCCCGACCCCTATAAAATGAGAAAACGTGATATCAGAATCAGCCAGCCATTCCAGGGTGTCAGAGGCTGAATACGTCCACATAACAATAAGGATAAAACCGCATGAGCAGACGCCGTTTGAGACATCTGCTCTTAGCTTGCAAGACAAGTAGTCAGGGTAAGCTAAATCGACAGAGAGGCAAATGACCATGGCCTTTTCCAAGTTAAAAACTCTCACTTTCAAAACAAGGCTACGTGCAAGATCATTGTGCAGTTGTGAAAAAGAGTCATTTTATTTGCATGAGAATTAAAATCATTTTCAAATCAATAGTTTCGCAATTAGCCTCGCTTTGAAACAGAGGTTTAGGGCAAGTCAGAAAGCATGGTGATTGCCCTAACAAGTCGTCATCGACAGGAAACAGGTATATTTGCACGTGCCCTAGCTTAAGTAAACAGAAGATTCCATTCCTCCCGTAGCCGTGAAAGCATAATCATTTTTATCGTAAACTGTCATTCCGAAAAGACTGCCGAGTGATCATCGACTTCTACGCGTGCGGTGACCACGATGACGCTAAGCTTCGCCCCGTTTAGAGTGAATAATAAAACGAAGTTCTCGTTCAAAGTTCTTGCAAAGAGATGAACGCTCATGGAAATGTAACGGTCAGAGTTCAAACAGGATTCTTTCACGGCGTTCGCACGATCGTGAGTAGGGCTGTCGGCTTGTTAGAGAGGCCGTTTACGGAGCTTTGAGAGGTAACTGTTTGCTTAACAGTTGATTTCTGAAGAGAAATGTGCCAGATCGACGGACGTAATCTGCAATAGCCATACAATGGGTTGGCTGAAGGGTAAATCAATCACGACTCCTCTCTCTATAATCACCTTGCTTTCTTGACAAATAACTCACCTTCCCTTTCCAATAACATTTCTACGGTTAAAGCCTCCCACGCAAAAATTCTTTTGGCTGAACGCGTGACGTAAAACCCCTAAGAACGGCTGCGTCGAAGACTAGCTTAGAGTTGTTTTAAACGTTTATCACATGGCTAAAATTCATGGAAATTGCAACAACACAACTAAAGTACTCAGTAATGTAATACGATGGATGTCGGTTTATTAACCAGATTTAGAACCTTACCGTCTTTGAACTGCGAATTATAAGCGTTACCTGACATGTGTGGCTGGTTCTCATAAGGTTGTCTTTGGAACTTTCGAACGGAATTGACCGGACCTGTTCTGGAAGACAGTCCCAGTTCTCGTCCAAGTTGAAAGTGTGCTAATGTACAGTTTGTCATCAGCGCACATAGAGACAAAATAAGAAAGAAGGCGGACACTTTCTTGGTTATAAGCATTAT